AACCCTTCCAAGATTACAATGTTACAAGGGCCTCTTCAGTGGTTTGCCAAGATCCCACAGCGGTCATTCCCGAACTGTCCGACCCAACTTCTCACTGTGGCCCTGTTGCCTCTTGTTCGGGTCGGTTTAGGGAAGGTAGCATGGCGCGAGCGACCGATTCGTTCGGGCTTGTCTTGCTGGTGGCCCTGGGGCCCTCATCTTTCAGGCGACTTGAAGACGCAGAATTTTTTTCGATGGACCTGAAAAGGAGCATGAAGCTTCCAAGCTAGGCATCCCGAAGCAAGCCGACTACAATACATACTTCGAGCAGGTAGCCCACGTCCACCTCTCAAGACCAGGCACCTCAAAGCCGTCGTCCAAGCCGAGCAGCTTTAGCGCCGGACGCAGGCGGCAAGCTTGAGCGCCTTATGGGTTAAAATCCGGCCGTATTCTGACTAGTCAGGCCCCTAAACCGTAAAACCTAAACCCTCAAAAAGCCAGGCTTGTCCCAGTTGTGAGTGCTGAAACCCTTAAAAGAAGCCAAACCCAAGTCGTTCCGAATCTTTGTAGGGTCTCGAAGAGCCGGAGGGAAGGAAGAGGATGAGATATAGGGGCCATAGCATAAAATGTAGGGGCCTTAATAATTAGAATAGGGTCTTGGGGTCCGTTATATTATAGGTATAGTATAAGGAACCCCCAGAATAGTATAGGTCATTATTTCGGCCCCTACATTATTCAGCTAAGTTCTGGGTCCAGTATAGGGGCTTGGATACTTGCAATTGGGCTTTGAGGTGTGTTCTACTATACCGGGTCTTCGGAAGGTATTATAAGGAGCCCCATAGGCATGATATTGGTATAAAGCAACTCTTAGTCACTACAGCCGTAAAGCTGCAAGTCTTTCCACTATCGGCGTGGTGGCAAGAGCAGTGGGACTGATACTTGCACTTATGCTAGAAGCTGTTTCGTCATCCGCAGGAATAACCAAAAAAGAGCATCAAGCGGGTGACTGGGAGAAGGTGTGTCAAGGTTGTTTCGATCGTGGGAAGAAGGTTGTTGTTGTTCGCGGTGTTCTCCACTTCAGGAACCCCAGCTCTCCATGCACCCGAACCCTATATTATGTTGGGGGCTCCTTATTGTAATTATACTATAAAGGACCCCCAAAACCCCTAAAGAAATCAATTCCGAAGTTCCGAAGCATTGAGCTCTTAAATTTGTCCCCCGGTCAAACAGAATCGAAAACCTTGCAGCTCAAAGTCACACAGACACTTCAAGCTTTACTATCCGAATCTACTTACCCCAAAAAATTCGCAGAAGTCCACCAATCCCGGTTTCGAGGCCTGTGGAGACGCCCGGAAGCGTCAAGGCGGAAAGTTGGGCGGGAAAGGGGGGGGCGGGAGAGGATTTAGGGTTTGGGGTGGGGAAAGGGGTGGCAAAGGGAAGAGGTGTTTGAATTTGGAGTTGCACGTTCTTCCCACTTAGGCTTAGTTCTCAACTGGGCCATAATCCCTAAACCCTTGAAAACCCCATAAACCCTCATGACGCGCATGTCTCGGCTGCTGGGGGTTTAGTATCCCCCCCGTCCATTCTACATCTCTGAATGAGGGTCCCCTTTAGGGTCCTTTTTATCAGGGTGCCGTACAATTTTGGGGACCTAAACAGGGACCCTAATTTAGAGAACTAGCCACGAGTTGTCGCGGTGCTTGTCGAGACCCGCAGGCAGCGATTCAGCCATAAAGTTCGAAAATCCTAAGCCCCTACTTAAAACCCGTATAAAAGCAGCCTTAAACCCAGTAAGGCTTACGTAAGGTTCTAAATCTTAAACCCATAAAAACAGCTTTGAATCAACTCTAAACTATAAAGTTCTACATCCTAAACCCGTATAGCAACAGCCTTAAACCCTAAGCATCACGGTTCTAAAATCACCCTAAAGCCCCTAAACCCCCAAAGCTCTCTGGGCCACCCTAAACCCTAAACCCATCTGCTCAGGTTAGCTTGAGCCGCGCCAGTTCACGAGTCTCCAAGGTTTTCGCCCTCGCGCTTACGCTTTTCCAGAGCTTCCACTTCTTGAGGGTTGAAGCGCTTGGGAGTTTAGGGTTTGGTTTGAGGGTTTATTGTTAAAGTTTAGGGTAGTTTGGGAGTTTAGGGCTTGGTTTGAGGGTTTATTGTTTGGGGTAGTTTGGGAGTTTAGGGTTCGGTTTGAGGGTTTAGGGTAGTTTGGGAGCAAAAGTTTGGGAGTTTAGGGTTTGGTTCAAGGTAACTTGTGAAGACCATGAGTTGCAGTGCTTCCTGTATACCTGCCTATGTAACCTTCCCGGCCGAGACCATAAGCCCGGATGCTAAACAGGTAAGGTTTTGGAGTTTGAGTCAGGAGCTGAATTCTCAAAGGAAGGCGGGTCTTGGGGCCTAGAACCAAAGGATGTAGACGCCGCAACGACTTCCGAGCTTCAGCTTTCGTGCTGGGCTAGAGCATCACCTTCGCCACCCGATGTCCTACATGAGACTAGCGTGTAGGGGTCTCGGATTCTGCAGCATCCGCATCCCATCAAGGCATAAGTATGAGGCATCACGGCAATTGTGTCAACAGCAGGGGCGTGTCTACAGTAGCTTTGGCAGAGAAGGGTTGGCGATCGGAACTCGAGATCCATGGATTTTCACTTGTTTGGGCCTCTGGAAACTGAAAGGCTAGAGCCCTTTGTTTCCGCATGAAACTCCAAGAATTCGAGCTGTGAGCCTGCATCCCAAATTCTCAGACCCTGACGCCCTCCGGCATTTCTTGTGGGTAGTTCTCTAAATTACGGTCCTTTTTTTAGGGCCCCTTTTTTTATAAGGGTGCTGCACTCCTTTGAGGGACCTAAACGGGGCGCTAACTTTAGAGAAGTATTCGAATCCTCGTGATGGTTGACAGCGTGACGCTTGGAACCATTGCCATCCTTCCCCCAAAGAGATGAGGATCAGGGATTTGGGTTTTGGGATTAGGATTTAGGGTTTAGGCATATGCATAGTCCAGGTGCAAAAGGGATAACCGTGAAGGTCCTTGCGATGTAGGCCGGAAGAGAAGATAGTTCTTTTGCTCCATGGCTGCAACCCTTGGATCCCTTTCGGCTCGAAAAAATGTGAGAGTTTGCGGCTCTGGGTGTGTTCGAATGGAGAGGGCTCGGGCGGATCGCGGCTAAAAACGTGCCGCGTGCTTTCTCCTGAAGAAGGCTGGGCGTGGTCGCAGCAAACATGACCCCCTTTTGCCAGGGCCGTGATGTTACAGGCCCCGCGATATTATGTAATCCGCGTATCGGAGACGGCTTCAGAAACCAGCACTCGAACTTAAGGTTATACTCTTCGGTTCGGAAGTTGGGGCTTGGAGCTGTGCCAGAAGACGTCTCTTCGAGATCTTGGACTTTCTAAAGCTTTCAGGACCCCTTGGTGTTGAGGGTTTAAGGGGTGCTTGGGTTTAGGGTTTAAGGTTTAGGGTTTAGGGGTGCTTGGGTGTAGCATTGGTGGTTGCGGTTGTTTGCAGACCAGATGCAGGGCTTGGGGCGCTATGTCTTGGGTCTTGGGATTTCGACTCCACTCTTGGTGAGGTGCCTTGTTGAAATGCAGTGACGAATGAATGCCCGTCATATCATTCCCTAACCCTGCAGGTACCTACTATATAGGGTACTAGAGCCCCTAGGGCCCTATATGGTAGGTACCT